CAATCAAGTTTTTATTTCAGTTCATTTACTTTTTTCGTCTGGGAGTAAAAGCTCATTTTACCCATTGCCCTACTGTCAAAAAATTGTTTATGTTTCCAAAAAGAAATTTGTTTATTTTTTATTTTTATTACGTCCGTTTGTTTTAGACGTGGCGTGTCGGTGCCCGGACATAATCCTCACGGACATGAACCCCATTGCAATTATGGGGATTATGCCCGGTTTGTTTTTGGTCATAATCCCCATAAAAATGTGAGGATAGTGTCAGCTTCGAACACAGACACAACCCCCATGGGGAGTATGACCGTTTGCTCTGTGGACTACTTACAAAAATAATTAATTTTAGAAATCTTTGACTCGCGGTAGCCGGTGTAGGACACGCTCAGAGGGGAAGATTTCAAGCCCCGGCTAAAGGAATGTTACTTACAAGAATTAAGAAATTTTAGGTGCAGGAAAAAATCTCAATTTTTTGGGCAATTTGTTGAAAATTAGTCCAAAGACTTTTCCTCTGGATATGTTTGACACCGGCTATCGCGAATCAAAGATTTCTGAAATTAATTATTTTTGTACGTAGTCCACACAGCAAACGGTCATACTTTATTATTTGGATCATGGGGATTATCAACGAAAAAAGATCATAATCCCCATAATTGCAAAAAAAGTGTAAATGGGTGTGGCGGAAATATCAACCTAATCCGCCAAACGTTAGGTGATGCCACAAATCTCGAAATATAACTTCTAGACCCACGATTTTACATATGTATCTACCTATATCTCCGAACTGGGTTGATTTAGCTATGTGTGTCCGTCTGTCACTTTTTTATTTGTAGTCACGCTACACGTCACAATTATGACGCAAATCCACGAAATTAGGCGTTGAGTCAGGGTTAGGGTCAGAATAAATACCTATAGGGCTTGCAATGGACCAACAAGAGATTTTTCCGATTTTGTAGTCTTTCAGGTCAATTTGCTCCCAATTTTGCGTGGGCGCGTGAAATATCAATTTTTAAACACAATATTTTACTTTGCTCAAATTTTATGAATGAACGATTGATATGTTTTGATTGTCTACTTTGGCATTTCGTTTTGATTGTGTTCGAGTTAGGTGAACCAAAATTTGCCTATAGAAAAAAGCTCTTTTTATTTATTTACGTACGGAAACCAAAAATTCTATTTGTCTGTCATTTGCCTTACAATTGGAAGAAAAATAAGTGTGGTGAACAGGCTATAAATTTGTACCTTCCTCCAGTATGGCTATGATAAACATTCGACAGGAATTTGTGGAATCTAAAACTATGACTTTGACCGTGTTTAAAAGGTGCTTAAATGAATGGGCCGATCTTAAAACCCAAACCAAGATAAAAAAACATATAATAAAAATCGGAATATTGCCCTCGAGAGTTATCATGTAGACCAGCAGCCACACAGACGGACAGATTTCATGATCAAATCTTAATATCCTGAAATGGATTTCGATCACAGAGACATGGGTTAAAATACATATCATTAGAAAAATTGGTTTGATCGAACGTTTCTAGAGCCTAGGTCTCTTTGGACGTTAGTCACTAAGGTCATTCCGAGTCGATCTGTCTTTCTGGCTGATGCGCAAGATAACTCCCAAAAGTTGTAATATTATTATGAAACTTAGATCGAGTTCGGGGAGGGTAATATCGATCCACTCCTTTTGGCACGTCTCCAAAAAGCAAAATATTCAATGGAAGATTGTTCAATCTTTACTAATCCCACAATTATTATCACTGCCAGGTCAGCTGCGAAAATGAAAAAATCTTTCCTTCTAGTACTTCTCCGCAAATGGGTAAATATTTTGAATAATAATATTTCTTATGAAATATGAAATATGAGTCCTTCAATTTTCGGACATCCCAATATTTCTACTAACTCTACATCGGACATAAAGATAAGGTAGAACGAAACACTCACTCTGGTACCTTCTCCATAAAGGTCCCAATTTTAGATAACCGTAACTCTTATAAAATGCGAAATATCTTCTCCATTGTTCGCACATTTCTATGTTTCTACCAACATAATATCTGCTGTTTATATAGGATACCAGTTTCTCAAAAACATAACCACACCTCCTCAAAAAAATTGTCAAAATTTTTATTAATAATTCTGGTTAAATGTGGAAAAAGTGCCCGATATTTATTAAACCATTTTTTGTCTATTTAAATCACTTGCGAAAATGAAATATATGACTCCACTCTTTCTCTAAACTCCTCCACAATAGAACAATATTGTCTCATTCATTCTTGTACCTTCCACATAAATGTTAGAAAATGTTCTCATTGGGTATGCGATAAAGTCCAAATTTGTTCTGTGGTAATATTTTTATCAGATTTATATCAGCCGCCATCCTGAAAAATATTGGCCCACTGCTCCTCGCGCAAGTGTACTGTTTTCTGCAATCTTAGCACATCCAAATATTTTGACTTTTTTACAATATATGTAAAATAGGGAAATAACGGGCCCATTCTTTATGTACATGTCCCAACAGGCCTTAAAATGCAAAGAAAAATTTTACACATATTCATAAAACCGGACGAGAATACACGGTTGAGTTTGAATTTAGTACATGATTTCATGTACTCATATTTGGCTAAAATGACGTTCGACAATGGCCAATATTGAACCACTCCTAACCATCCACCAAAACCCTTTTTAAATAGTAAATCAATGTTTCTTCAGTTTTGATACATTTGGGAGGAAGTGTGAATATGGAATTTATGATTCAAAGAATCCGAAACAAATCATCCAAACATCTCATATAAATCCGATATATAGTCTCGCCTTGGCATGAAAGGTCAGTAACTATTCGGAGGTAGATCTAGCCAAATAGAATAAATTTGTCCATGCCATTCGCAAAAAAAAAAAAAAATAAAAGAAATAGCCATTTTTATACCCTCCACCATACTATGGAGGGTATATTAACTTTGTCATTCCGTTTGTAACTCCTCGAAATACTCATGTCAGACCCAACAAAGTATATATACTCTTGATCAGCGTAAAATTCTACGTCGATCTGTCTGGTGCATCACGCTATCTTTCGAACGAATTGAGATAGAAGGCTAAAATTTTGCAGACATGTTTATTTTTCCAATAGGCAGGTTAAGTTCGTAAATTGGCCATGTAAGTCCACGTTTTCATATAGCCCTCATATAACGGTACCTCCCGATATTTGTTATTTTAATGATTTTAGCGACATTATTCACCGGAATTGTTTTAAATTTGGTATTTGAAGCTCGCAATGGATACTACAGCCTAGGACAGAAAATTGTCTGTGCAGGTCTACGTCTTCGTATAGGCAGCATATACCAGTACCTCCCTATATTCGGCATTTTGACGAGTATTTGAAGTTTGTAATGGATGCTACAGCCTATGAAAGAAAATTGTTTATGCTGCTCCAGGTCTTCGCACAGCTCTGATACAACGGTACCTCCCTATATACGATATTTTGATGATTTTAGCTACATTATTCACCGATTATTTCAAGTTCGAAATTTTAATTTGGTAATGACTTATGACAAACAATACCTGTGTGGGTCCACGTCGTATACAAAACAAAATAACGGCTATATTCGGTATTTTTAAAATTTTAACAGAATTTTTTAAGGATTTTATTTCCAAATTCGTTCCAAATGGTGGAGGGTATTCAAAGTTCGGCCCGGCCGAACTTACTGCTTTTTAACTTGTTATTTTTACAAACATTAAATCTAGTATCAAGTTAAAATGTTAGGTCTAATATTTATGGTATGCCCCCAAAAGGAATGCAGAATATGCTGAGTATGTATACCAGTCTCAATGGCGGCTGAAGCGTTCTAAATTTTTCAATCTGTAAATCAATATTTCCAAATTTAGTTAGCTTACTTTGTTTCACTCTACTTTCTTTTACTATCGCTTACTTCTCCTGACTTTCCTTTACTTATCTTTACTTTAAAGGGTCCATCTGGTCTTAAAACCCTTGAAACTGCTTGGACCACAGAGAATACATTTTCACAAATTGTATACATTTTTTTTTTTGTAAATTTCCTATCTTCACCAAATGCAATACAAAGCGATGTGTATGGCGGACCAAACCGTTTGTAAAATGTCAGACTGGTGTCACTAATATTGTAGAGGAATTTCAACTTCTGGCATTTTAATTTTTGTCACTTTTTTAAGGTTGCGTACTCAGTTCTATTCGAAAGTTTTTGTTCATAAAAATTCTTCCTCATTGAGAGACTTAAGAATATCTGAAGTGGGATAAAAACGGTCATCATAAGCATATGTCCTTTGTCGTTATGAATAAATTATGTAATTTTGCAACATACCCATTCCATTAGTAATCGCATTTAAATGCTAATGGAATTTTCTCGAAAAACATCCTCGTTGTTAAAAAAAATCTCCATTGCTCTCTAAAGTCAATTAATAGTAGTTTAGGTATTTGTTTTGATGCACCTCTTACTACAGTTCATGTTCAATGAATGAGTTTCTTAAACAATGAATGCTGGCGCCATCTATTGGCGTCATTCTAATTTGTTTCCCAAAAATCCCAAAATAAAAAAGTTATTGAATTTCATTAATAAATATTTTGTTGGTTTATATTTTGTTTTGCATTTTCTCTTGTGTTATTGTCTAAAGTTTAGAGTCTTCCGTTGTTGTCTTAAAACTAAATATTTTAAATCAATGTCTTCCATGGCTTATAAACGAAACTTAAAACTGTAAAAAAATACTTATTTAGGCAGGCACAGCAGTTTTGCAAATTAAAAATATTAATAATAATAACTTAAAAAACTATTTTGTACATTTGGATTTAACAAATTTGAGGTAAAAAACAGGTTCTCTCAATTTAAAAATAAAAAAATAATACTTTTGCGTTTTGATTTGTTTGTTGCATGAGGCTGATGTGGATGATGACCAATCAATGGTGTCTTCTTCTTCTTTTTCTTCTTGGTGTAGACTAGATTTTCAAAATCGTAGTTTTGAGGTGGGGGGAATGATAAAATTTACTCATCCTGCCACAGTGAAATGTAGTCCAAAAGCTCCTCATCCTCAGCCGATGATGAGCTATTGCTGTTGTGATTGTAGTCCTCGAATGAGACTGGTTCGAATTTAATTGGCGTTGTGGCTGGTGTAATATTATTGGCATATTCGAAACCCGATGATTGATAGTGTTGCGGTGATTGCTGTTGCGGATACAATTCGGCGGAGTATGTGGAGGAGCTGGTCGAATTGGCGGGTGAAATGAGATTGTGTTGCTGGAAACTGCCGGCATAGCTCAACGATGGGTGATGAGGCTGAGTATAGAATTGAGTTTGTTGTTGGTAGTACATGTTGTTCAATTGTGGAGCATTGGATGTTTGTTGTTGGTGTAACGGTGCTGGAGGTGGTGAGCCACTGTTGGATGAGGAGCTGTACGATGGCGAGGCAGCTGAGAGGGAACCATACGAAGATACACTGGAGCTATCACTACTGCTGTCAACATCATCAATTAGCTTCTTGAGACGGCGAATATATTCGGCAGCCATGCGTAAAGTATCGACTTTGCTGAGTTTTTTATCGGCGCCAGGTCCAATACCGCGACGACCATTGCTAATCTCAGCAATGATGGCGGTGGGAATGTGGTGGCGTAGATGAGTGAAGCCATCGTTGACTTGTTTAACACGATTACGTTCACGGGCATTGCGGCGAATGACGGAGGGATTGTTCGAGTCCAATGTGGTGCCCTCACTTTTCGTCGCAGGTTTGTTGTAGGGGGCAGGTGCAAGAGATCTTTGGTTTACATTACGTGTCCTCAACACTTCTCGGGGTGGTGTGTGCAGTACTTGTTTTTGATATTGGAATTTGGTGGCTGTCGTTGCCGACTGGTGGTGGTACATCATATTTTCCGAACCCAAAGCCATTTTTGTTTGTTAATTCAAAATAATAATTTCCAGAATATTTCGTCGTTTCGTAAAGAAGAAGAGTTTGAAATCGTTTTAAATTTCAAATCTTGTTGTGGTTGTTTTCTCTTTGGATGCTTAAGACTGACTGATGCCCTTCTCTGCTCTGCGAGGCTATTTATACGATTTCCTCTGCCATCCTCCACAACATCAAGGAATTCATTCACAACCTTCTCACCTTCAACTTAACTCATTCAACAAAAATTTTCCCAGCTACCTGACTCTTGCCTGACGATCGACAGGTAAGGCCAAAATCTTGTACAAAATCCCTCGCTCATCCAGATATTTTACGCTCACGCACATCCTCAATGCTCTTGCACAAAACCAAAGGATCTACTCTCTGTGGGAGCGAGCATCCCTTGATCTTTAAAATTCTCATATGGCTGCAGTTACCATTTACGCTCATTGATGCTTGGCCAAGAGTATTTCAGGTATAAAACGCCCAGATCATTGAGATTTTCAACTTGGTTTACTCAGTTTTACTCAATGGTGATTTTGTTTTGCTGCCAACTGAGATTACGTGTTGAGTTGTTAACAAAACTCAATGACTGGAGGAGAAGTTCCTTGCTGCGTTTGTTTGGCAGGGGAATTGGCCAGGGAACAGTTTGCAGACGTTTGCCTGCACAAGGTTGTGTGGTGAGTTTTATATTTCTCCTTAGAGCCGGTTTCTGCTGGGTAGGATCAGTAAATGATTTGATCTTTTTGAACAGTCGCGTGCCGGCATTACAGCCGGTTTGATGATTTTCAACTTCATCTCAGCAAAGAGATAAGTTTTTCATTTAAAAAAGAGTAAATTTCGTTTTCTCTTCTTTTAATTCGTGTTTGCAAGTCTACAATAGTTGTGTTCTTTTCCTGATCAGACCAACAGCACGATATCAATGAAAAAAAAAAACAGAAACTGGTGGTTGTAATTAAAAACTGGTTGCGACAAATTTAATATCATTGTCATCAAATGCAAGTTTTGAAAAATGGATTTTTCATATTGAGAAATTCTGTTGGTTAATTTAGCATATTTTTTCGTTTGTGATTGACTGAAAGTTATGAAAGAATATTCTTAAAAATCATGAAAGTAGATCTAAAAGAACATGAAAAATTAAAAAAAAACTTGGTTCGGGGTCAACCAGTTCAGTTTGTCTTTTAAAGTTTTTTTTTAATTTATTTTTTTTTTGTTCGAGTTGTCCTCTTAAAATATTCTCTAGAAACCCTTTAAGGTACACTTGAAAAAAATTCTTCAATATTAGACAGACATCCTGACAAGCCTTCAAAAATCCACAATCTCTCTCTATTGTAAATATGTCAGTTCTTAATAAATCTTATAATATAATATTACAATAATCCTCGATAATAACTTTGGCAGGTCTTCAAATAAATTTTGTATACCCTACAACACTATGTGTTGGGGGTATTATAAGTTTGATTGGGCCAAAAATTATGTAACACCTCGAAATATTGGTTTCCCACATAGGAAAGTATATATGGATCTTCCTATCTCGCCGAGCTGAATCGAATTAGCTATGTATCCGTCCGTCCGTCTGTCCATGTTAATTTGTAATCACTCTACAGGTCGCAATTATGGCCCGATCTTCACAAAATTTAGAATGGAGGTGGGGATAAGGTCAGAATAGAACCCTATTTCTTTTGGAGATGATCGCACAATATTTAGGGGTCGAAATGGACCAACAACTGAAAGAAATCCTGATTTTGCAGTGGCTCTACAGGTCGCAATTATGGACCAATCGACGCGGAAATTAGCATGGCGCTAAAGCTTCGGGCTGGGCAGAAGCCTTCCGATTTTGATGGTCATCGGTTAATATTTAGTGGGTGAAAAAGACTATAATACTTGTGATAAATAAAAGTCAAATTTCCATTATACCGCGAATATTTTTAGTCCGGGCGAAATCATAAATAGACGAACAGGTCAATTCTGACCGTTACGTAGATGCCGATAGTAAATATATCGGATATATATAGCGAAATATACAATGTGTATATAAAAAGGAAAGGAATGTTAGATGGAATGCTTATATCTCAAGGACCGATTTTGACAAATTTTGTCAATTCAGAATGCCCATTTGACATAAAAGTATAAAATCTAAAAAATCGCATAAAAATAAGTCAAAAATGATCTTAATATAGATTTTATAGTATTTTGTGACATATTTTTATTATTCCATATTTTTTATCGCATGCTATTTTTTCAATTTGACTTATAATATTAAGGTGTACATTTTGTAATATTTTTCCACCTTACAGCACAGGTTTGGGATATTATATACAGATTGCAATTATCGTCCGATCCTCACGAAAAGGGTAGGGTTGGGCTCAGAAGGGCTAGGCCTATTGTTTTCAAAGATATCCGCAATATATTTAGGGGTTGAAATGGACCAACAATTAAAAATGTTCCTGATTTTGCAGCCGCTTTAAAGTACACAAATAGAAACCAAAGGACACGAAATCTCGCATGAAGTTAGAGTTTAGAACAGCGGGTAGAGTGGACCACTATTTTTGTGTTAAAAAAATACCAACATTACTTACAGATGATATCCGAAATGCACAAAAGGCGAACTTCTGGCTTTCTTATGCTGATTTCGTTGACGAATATAGCCAAATATCGTAGACAAGCAAATCATATAGATATGTCTAAATTTGGAGATACAGAGGGGTCTCTTGCTTTTGGAGATGATCGCAAAATATTTAGGGGTTCATATGTACCAAAAACAGAAAAAAAAATTGCATATCACACAATTGAAGCCAATCGTCACGCCTGAGAAGAGAGTTAAGGACAGGACATTTTGGATGGAAAATGGAGCACAACAACTAACAGCACGACGGACTGTGTAAATATTGTGCAAATGTCCCTGGTAAAAATGCTAAGGGTAATATCTGAGCAGTGCTCCGTGACATAATTTCAAAAACGAAATCTTCCAAAATCGATCTGGATATAAGGAGGCTTCTAACATATTGTAGCGTTGTAGGGTATCACATGGTGGGCCCCGCACGACTATAGCCTTTGCTTACTTGTTTTTAAATTATAAAAGTCGAATTTTTTTCTTCTAATAATAGAAAACACATTCTTTACCATTGACTTGAGGTCACAAGTCAGATACTCCACTACCACATTTAATAGAGCTACACGTAACAAATAAAAGTTAATATTGGGGATTTATTCGTAGTAGTTCATACCAATATGAACTTTTTTGAATGCGTATTATGGCTATAGAGCACTTATAATTTGGATTTAAAGGAAAATATATCCAACTCTGATTCGATTTCCACCAAATTTGGCAGAGCCAGTTATTCTTCTCGTACCAACTAGCACTGATATAGTGTGCATGATATGACTTCCCCAAGCCTTAAATTAAATCAGTATGGAAAGGGCGAAAGTCGGGCGGGCTCACTATATGATACCATACACCACTTCATATATTTAGTAGAGCTCCTGTAACAAAAAAGTTTATAATAGAAATTTATTTGAAGTAGATCATACCAACTATGAACCTCACTGAAATGGTGAGTGTCATGGTTTTAAAGCAGTTATAATTAGGTTTCAGAGGAAAATAATATATATAAGGTATGTCCAATTCTGAATCGATGTTCACCAAATTTGACGGAGATATTTTACCTCACCTAACAAAAAACATCGCTATAGAGTTCATGATATCAAGGCTTATAATAAACATATATATCGCAGCCGAGTTTCAAATTCTATTGAATGTGAAAAAAAACATTCAATTTCGGCTGATATTACATATATGATGTAGAATAGCCGTGAAATCGGATGAAGATATATATGTAAGCTATATCCAAATCTGAACCGATCTTGATAACAAATTGGCGGAGGGATTTCTCAGCTGTATCTGATCTGATATGTTCAGCTCACGAGCCGCTTTCGACCAATGAGACGCGAGTTTCGATCAAGTCGCTTCCTACTTTTCGAACCATTTCAGTTGATGTTGCTGTTATCTTTCGTCCACTTCCTTGACGTCGGGCTATGCTACCAGTATCACAGTAACGAGCGATGGTAGGAGGTACAAAAGGTTTATTCACATTTAAATGCTGGAGTGCTCTAACGATAGCCAATTGTGGTTTTCCAACCAAATATAAAGAAATCACACTATCACGCTTGTATTCCATCACGAATAAATTTTTTTTTGGAAAATTCTCACCAAAGCGCTTTTGCACGCTTTCAAACAATATAATGAGCTGTCACTGGAATAATTTTAACAGCTGGCGGATGAGTGGCTTAGAAATGGCAGAAGTTTGAAGTTGGTTATAGGTTTTTCATCTCTCCCTGTTATATAAATTGCTACATATCCGATATCTTCTCTATTAGAATCGCTGTGATGGTCAGCAGTGACCGGGAATACAAATATTCGCGGTTTAGTGAAAATTTTTGTATATTTTTAAATAAAAGTTAGGATTTATTTTACCCGCTAAATATTGTCCGATGGCCGCCCAAACTATTGAGCTTCTGCCCAGTCCTAAACTCTAAGTCCATGTAAACTCCCGCGTCGAATGGTTCATAACTAAGGCATGTAGAGCAACAGCAACCTCAGAAAATTGTTCTGTAATTGGTCCATTTCAATCCCTTCATATTTTTCGATCATCTCCAAAAACTGGCCCAAACCCCACCTCTATTCTCAATTTTGTGAGGATGGACAGACAGATAGATGGACATATATAACTAGATCTATTCAGCTTGGCGAGATAGGGAGATCCATATATTGTTTCCTATATCTGGGAGATGTTACATGATAATACCCCCAAAATACGTAGTGTTGTAGGGTATAAAACACGTTCTAAAATATACAGGATTTTTGTTTTTCTAATTTTTTAATACATATTTTCAATAATTCATAACACACACACTATTATATGTGATTGTGTATTATTTCCTATTAAGACTATGTTAAATTTATTTTAACACCTTGTTTAGCCAATAAAAATTTACGTGTATAATTACAAGTCAGGTCATTAGTCATCGTGTCGTTAAATTAGTAAGTGTAAAAACACATTTAGTATAATCACAGCTTAAAATGGCAGTTTATCATTTGTTCACCAACTCACCCAACAATTTCAATCAGCTCACAATTATTAAACACAAATGCTTATAAATCCGATTTCGTAAAAGACCACACAAGCGAAGAAATACATCTTCTATTTGAGCGCCATAGCTATTAAGAGCAATAAATAATCACAACTAACTGCTACTAAACCACAAATTAAATAAAAATCTCTTTGGCTAACTAGCTGAACTAATAAATTTATTGTGGAGCAACCCCTCAGCACGGCACTGATGATGACGGCAATGGTGAGTTGATAAAAGGGTTGAATTACCGAAATGGTAACACTCACCACAGAAGACGGCAAGGATAAGAGTTTTCCTTCACATTTATTGGGTGGTATGTAATTCGAACCTATGCTAATTTGTGTTTTCATAAATCTGTCCAATGTGTAACGCCACCTTTGGTAATAGAATTAATTTTCAGCCTTTGATAATTATAGAGGCACTCTATAATTGACTAGGTTTTGTTATTTAACTGGGCTATGCTTTGTATGTTTAAGCGGGAGCTTGACTTTGATATTTTTAAACGAACAATTCGTTGTCTAACTGGGTGTTAAATGGACATATGTATGTTTGTACGTTACATTTGAAGGAAACGAAAGGCGAAGAAATCTAGGGTGGTGCCAGAGAGGAATTTTAAAAGTTGAACCAACAAACATTATTTTTTGAAAGAATGAATGTATTTATATCCTACAACACTGGTCGAAATATTGGTCCTGCACATACGATGAAAAAATAAAATTATGTTACTTTGGAGGTGATCGGAAAATATTAAGGGGTTGAAATGAAAAACAAAAAAGAAATCCTGATGCTTAACAGTTCGAAATTATAGACCGGAAATTATTATGGGGCTAGAGTTTAGGACTGTGCAACTAGGGTAGTCATCGAATATTATTAAATTAAACAGCGAATATTTATAATACCAGCGAAATCACAAATTCACGAAAATGTCACTTCTGACCGTTGCATTAATGCTTATATGCAAGATATCGTATGCATAGCAAAATATATATAATCTCATATATCAAAGATGGGGATCGCATGAGATTTTGTTTCATAATTGACTTACAATACTGAATTGTGCGTGTTGTGAGATTTTTTCACCAACTCTTTGTTTTGAGGTTGTTATATTCAGGTCGGTTAACCCTGCCTATTGTCTTGGAAGAAGTTCGCAGAATGTTATTTTATGTTTTAAATATACCCAAAACCTTAAAATTTTCTAGATTCTCCAGTCGCTCTACAGTTCTCAAGTAAGGATAAATAGATATGGAATTTTTTATGAGGTCTTAGTTTAGGGCAGCGCTGAAGCTTGACATTTTGGCATAATATTTACCAGCTTTAATATTAAAAATTCTATATCTATTTGTCCTTAGTTGAGGACTCTAGGGCGACTGCAAAATTTAGACATTTGTAACTAGTTTAGAATCACTTTCTGAGTTGATTTTTGCATGTCAGTCCGTCGGTTCGTCCGTCCGTCTGTCCATGTATTTCACAAAAAAAAGAACGAAAACTTCCAAACAATATTGGAAATCTTGAAATTGGTGAGAATCAGTTCAAACTTAGATATAGCCCCCATATATATCTTGAACCGATTTCGGGTTAATTGTTCACCAAATGACCAATATCAGTCCAACTTACTTGAATTTTGGCACATCAGAATTGCAGATAACTTATGAAGCTCACAAATACCTCTGTCAACTTCTATCCGATCGGATCAAATTAGGATAAAGCTCCCATTTATATCTTTATGCGATATCTGGTTTATTGTGTACCAAATGTCTAATATCAGCCCAAAGGGACTGAATCTTGGCAATTCCGACTGAATTCATTCTAGAAACAAGTACTTCAAATTTGACGGAAAGTGGTTCAGTTATAGCTATAGTTCATGTTTCATACTATTTGGGGTTTTTAGTCCCTCACATGCGTAATATGCACTCCACAAGAATGATATTTGGTACCAGATGTCAGATATAGCTCAGAAATAAGTGCCAACAATTTTATCAAGATGGATTCAGATTTAGATATAGCTCCCATATATATCTTTATCCGATTTAAGCTTTTTGTGAACCAAATTGCTAATATCGGCTCAAACTGACTGAATTTCGGCACCTTCAACGGAACTCAGCCCAGAAGCAAGTGCTTCAAATTTCAGTGAAAACCGGTTCAGATATAGCTATAGCTCCCATATATATGTTTCATTCGATTTAGTGTTAAAGTCTTAATACGCACTTCACGACAATGATATTTGATACCGAGGACCAGATACTGGTCGAAAATACATCTGCCAAGCTTTATAGAGATCGTTTCAGATTTGTATATACCTTCGATATACATCTCCATCCAATTTTACGGTTATTGCTCACCAAATTATGATATTATCTACTTCAGATGAATTCTCAATATAAACGTTTTTGTTACGGGAGCTCTACTAAATACGCAAAGTGGTGTAGGGTATCATATAGTTGACCACGTCCGAATTTTGATCTTTACTTACCTTTTTCTTGACCTTCACCTTTTTCTTCTAAAAGTTTTACAGGAGATTTTCGCATAAACTCGTGTGAAAAATGATTTTACCCTGTTATGAATATTCATAAATTCCTAGCCTATAGATTTTTCGTAAATTACTGGAAATATAATAAAATAAGTTTGTGGAGTATTTTCAGTTAATACGATCCCGATAAAAGGGATTATTTTACCCTTATTTCGTAAAAACTAGAAAATATCAGTCGGTTTTTCCGACAGATGCATGCTCTCAGCTATTGTAGGTTTATTAAAATACATTTTGAGCTGACTTGTGGTTATTCAAACTGTTGACCAGACTTTAGCCCTGTGGGGGAGGTATTAGAAGGATTGAGAAGAAAAAATCAATATGAACATCAGATCTCTTGTTGAGAAAAATATTTATATATATCAAGATTGAAAAGAAACGTTGATATTTTTTTCGCAAGTTATGAGAGACTTGAGAATTGAATAAAAATTATGACCCTATGTGAGTTCGGTACCAGAATGGGTGTGCCATATCTATCATATTCACACCATATTTTCTGTTATTAGAAATATTGTAATGTGCGAAATTTTAAGAGAATCCTATGCTCATTTCCCTTTTTTTGAGTGTTTTGTTATTCAAAATGTTGACCACTTTGTGGAGGAGGTACCAGAGGTAGTGGACCGCTATATCTCAACTTCACACCAGATTTTTTGTTACCAAAAATTTAAAGATGTGTGAAGTTTGAAGAGATGCTTATTCAAATATTTGACCTATTATGGGGGAGATAGTAGAAATAGTTTTCCGACATATTCTATCTTCACACCTAGTCTTCTGTTGATAGATATATTGTATTTTACCAAGCCTGAAAATAATCGCATGCTTTTTTTTACATTTTATGAGAGAAATTTGTGAAACTTTGTGGGGAGGAGAGGTCCAATGTGAAAACGTTACACAAAATTGAATGATCAGTTTGTTTCTTTACGTTAAATTATTGTTTTTGAAAATTTTGACCAATTGTGGAGGAGGTACCAGAAGGATTGCACCGATATTGCCCACCTCCGAATTTGATCTAAGTTTGACAATAATACAACGATGTACCAAGTTTGGATCAAATCGTATATTCCCTTCGTGAGTTATCTTGCAAGCCACACAGGTAGACTGACGGACAACCCTAGATTGACTCCAAATACCCTAAAACATATTTGGTACCAAGGGACCTAGGTTCCAAACACGTTTTTTATATGAGCCACATTTTGGCCATATCAAATGATCATATCATATCAAATGGATCATATTCAAATGATCCTCTCTAGTCATATGACTTTGTTAACCCGCTGACGGATTAAACTGTTTGATTTTGTTAATTCTCCTATTGATATGAGAAGCCTATTTAGTGCAGCTAGTTGAAATAATAAATATTAAAAATAATATACAAATTTAGATTAAACAGTAAACAATTATTTTTTTATCAATAGACTCGTTTTTGTTTCCATGAATCCATGAATCACTACACCATAATAGTTGAGCGTAAAAAACGTCCAAATACCCGATTGTTTATTTTTTCGAAAAATTGTTGATTTATCTATTGGCCAAATGATTTATTATTAAATATGTAGGGAAAAATAGGGAAAAATACCAAAATGCTGAACTATTTCATATTCAATCGACTCAACATGCAGAAAACTCACAATAATTCAAAGATTTAATTGCGGAAATTTGCAGAACCTTTGACAATTTTCCATTTGACGAAGTAGAAAGACTAAATGATTTGCAAAACCTTTTTTATTGACAGTTCAATAGAAAGGTCCATTGCTAGCTCACTTCCAGTTCTGGAAAAACTCAGAGAAAGTGTTTTTTATTAGTATTTAAAAAATACTAAACCCAAATGGAACGCCCCACCAAACCGACGAGAACAATGGCAACCATGACAACGGCACCGATATTGGCACGTCCAGCGGGGTTACAATAATTCTTGTTGTCACACTTGCCACAGGAGCGTGTCACACTTCCGGAATTGTGGGCAGGACGCAATGGCAATTCACAGGCGTTTATGGTGCTGTAAACACAACCTTTGTATCTGACGTCACCATAATCTGAAATTAGATTTAAAATTAGCATGGGTTTTAACACGCAAATGTTGTGTGTTGTCTCTCTCTCTCTACTTACTGCTCTTGATGTTCTCGTAGAAGCATTGCAAATATGGACTTGTTTGATTTAGATTAACTCCGGTATGATGGATGTCTAAATAAGTGCTAGTCTGGTTTGCCAAACTCGTGGTACATTCCACCTTTTTGGGACTTTTGCAAGAATCCTTGGTGTTGCAACTGTAGCATTTGATGGCATAGGCTGGAAGTAGAATAAAGTTGAGTTGGTGTATAAAAATGGATGGTTCGAGGAAATTCAATCATTGTTTTTAACAATGTTGGTTTTATGGTTATATTTGTGGAATTCTGCTATATAATGACCACCGCTATAAGGTTCATCAATGTGAATCATTAGTAGGTTCTTACAAAAACCTGGTCAATCTTATCCGAAGAACAAAGTACTTATACAAAGTACTACTGACTTAAAACTAATTTCGGCTAACCATATTCGTGATCTAACACCGCTCTCTCGATTGAGCCAATTCCGTCAATTTTTCCTTTAAAAATAAAATTTCTAAGTATTCGAATTCAAAATAGCCCCTTTGGCACATGATCACTCATATTGTACGAACGAACTTTTCAATATTTCGAAGTCGACATTTTCAGCACTTCCACTTCCATTTCACAATAATTACGCATTAAAATTATCAATACACTTGTCAATACGTACAAAATGTTACACAGCTAATGGCGATTAAACCCACAATCAACAAAACTTTTGATGAATTCATATTTGATTTAAATTTCGCTATTAGAAAATCAATTCCGTCGTTGAACGTACTTCACCTCACAGTTGCTATGCAATGACTAAAATTACATTGATTTTAGCTTCTGCTGGACAATATAGTGGAGAGAGATAAGAAATAAAAAAAATACCTTGTCGCAAGTTAATACTTTAACAATAATAACAAATCAAAAAATATCGGTCGGTTTTGCCGACAGATGTATACCCTCAGCCAATGTTCGATTATTTTTAAAATCTTTTGACTTCTGTTATGATTATTCGAATATTTAAACCTTTATGCAGTTGGTTCCGAGGGAATTAGCCAATATTGGTCATTTCGTGTCGGACCTAAATAAATATGAAATAAATAATGCGACGTGCTAGGTTTGGACTGTGTTCTCTTAATGGAAATTTTGGGATGTACCAAGACATGAATAGAATCGGATGTCAATGCCGCTTTTAATGAGCTTCATGGATTTTCAAAATTTTGAGCCTTTGTGTGGGTGGTACAAGAAGGAGTGGACCGATATATCCCATCTTCACAAGGGATCTTTTGTTAGTGGAAATAATGGGATGTGTGAAATATAAAGAGAACCTGATTTCGGGTTTTATAAATGTTTTGGTTATTCAAAACTTTGACCCCTTGTGGGGAATGTGTGAAATTATAAGACAGTCGGATTCTAACACCACATTATAATTATTCAAAATGTTTACCCTTTGTGGGGGAGGTACTTGATGGAGTGGACCAATATTATCCATTTTTGTACCAGATCTAGAACTGATGAAAATATTACGATTTGCCAAGTTGGGGCAAATCCGGATTACAGCTTCTGTTTCTGCGCAAATAATATTTTCTTTGTTTTTTTTTTTTTTTTTTTTTTTTTTTGAAAATTTTGACCTTTTATGGTGGAGATACCAGAAGGAGTGGACCGATATTTTCCATCTTAACACCAGACCTTGGGTTAAAATAAATATTTGGATGAGTGAAATTTGAAGACAAATGGGGCTCTTACATCAAATTTTATGAGCGTTGTAATTATTCAAAATTTTGACCATTTGTGGGGGAGGTACTTGATGGAGTGGACCTATATTGTCCATTTTGATACCTAACCTAGCACTGACGTAAATATTAGGATATGCAAAGTTGGAACAAAATCGGCTTATCTTTTTCTTTCTGTGCAAAAAATATCTTAACACCAGACCTTGGGTTAATAAAAATATTGGGATATGAGAAATTTGAAGACAATCGGACTCTTACATCAGATTTTATGAGAGTTGTAATTATTCAAAATTTTGACCATTTGTGGGGGAGGTACTTTATGGAGCGGACCGCTATTGTCCATTTTCACACCTAACCTAGCACGGACGCAAATATTAGTATATGCAAAGTTGGAGCAAAATTGGATTATCCTTTCTCTTTCTGTGCAAAAAATTTCGACCTTTTGTGAGGGAGGTACCAGAAGGAGTGGACCGATATTGCCCATCTCCGAACTTGATTTAAGTTTGACAAAAATATTACGATGTACCAAGTTGGGATCAAATCGGATACTCCCTTCGAGAGTTATCGTGCGCACCAGCCAGACAGACAGACGGACGGACGGACATCGCTAGATCGACTCCAAATGTTCTGAAACGGATTTGGTCCAAAGAGACCTAGGGTCTAAAACCGTTATTTCGACTAGGCACGTACGTATCAAATACGTTTGACCGTATCAAATGATATATACCCTCTAGCCATATGCCTGAGCGTATAAAAACTAAAGCCATGGGTAAATAAATAACGTTTATCTTATCACAAGTCGAACGAAATGGAACAACAATGCAGCAACACCACCTATGCACATATCTATATTAGTTTGTTGATCAATTTGAAATTAGTCATTTTTTTATACCCTCAGCCATGTGGCTACAGAGGGTATAACATTTTCAAAAAAAAAAAATTTACCCCACAAAGGGTAAACATTTTCAATAATTATAATGTGATGTGTGATTACTGTCTTAAAATATCACACATTCCAATATTTTCCTAAATCCAAGATCTGGCGATAAGATGGAATATATCGGTCCACTCCTTCTGGTATCTCCCCCACAAAGGCTCAAAATTTTGAATAACCAAAACATTTACAAAACCCGAAATCAGATTCTCTTTATATTCCACACATATTTCTACTAACAAAAGATCCGTTGTGAAGATGGGATATATTGGTCCACTCATTCTGGTACCTCCCCCACAAAGGCTCAAAATTTTGAAAATCCATGAATCTCATAAAAAGCGTAATTGACATCCTCTTCTATTCATGACTTGGTACATCCCAAAATTTCCATTAACACAACACAGTCCATACCTTGCACGTCGCAATATTTATATCATATTTATTTAGGTCCAACAATATTGGCCAATTCCTTCGGAACCAACTGCATAAAGGTTTAAACATTTGATCAATCAAACCCGAAGTCAAAAGGTTTTAAAATAATCGAAAATTGGCTGAGGGTATACATCTGTCGGCAAAACCGACCGAAACTTTTAAACTTGTTTAAATGGAAATTGTTCTTATGACAACATCTTATATTCTTTCTTTTCAGGTTTGTTCAAATGTGGCACCCGCGTTGGAAATGTATGAATTAACACAAACATAGTCCAAGGATAACTTCGATTACAAGAGTAGTATGGAGGGTATATTAAGATTGTCATTCCTTTTGTAACTCATCGAGAAATGCATTTTGGACCTCACAACGTATATATATTCTTGATCATCATAAGATTCCATATCTATATAGCTATAGCTTCCAAGTTTAAGAAAGTTGATAAAATTTAGCTGAGATGCAGTTTAGCTCATTGGAATTTTTGGTATCAAAAATGGACCATATGGGTCCACATTTTGATTTAGCCCCGAAGAGTGCTTTGGGTATTATGTCTTTGTGCATTTGTATGTAACATGGAGAAGGAAGCGAGATAGACCAATAGTTACTTTTGAGGATCTCCATAGAATCACTTTCTGAGTTGATTTATGCATGTCCATGTATTCTTGCGAACAAAATGCAGGTCGCATTTATTTTTCGATTGACATGAAATTTTCCAAACAACATTTGTTCGGCCCAAGGACGAACCCTATTTAAATTGGAGATAATCGATAAAAATTTAGATATTGCTCCCATATATATATTCGTCCGATTTGACTTTTATTGTGCACCATAATATCAGTCCGAAGAGTATGGAATTTTGCACATACAACCAAATTAGGCCTGAAAATAAGTATGCCAAATTTGTTCGAAATCGGTTCAGATATAGCTATAGCTCCCATATATATTGTTCATCCGATTTGTTATTTTTATCTTTAATATGCACTCTGTAACAACAATATTTATGCATCTCAGAAAACAATATCAAATGCATCTCAGAAATACCTTTGCTAAATTTTATCGAGATCGGTTCAGATTTGGATATAGCTCCCATATATAACTTCGTCCGATTTACATTTTATTGTACACCGAATGTCTAATATTTGTCCAAATGGGATGGAATTTGGGATTTATGACCGAATTGAGTCTAGAAGCTAGCATACCAAATTTGGTGAAGATCGGTTCAGATATAGCTATAGCTCCCATATATATTGTTCATCCATGAAATATCCATGTCAAATTTAATCGCGATCGGTTCAGATTTGGATATAGCTCCCATATATATATATACATATATATATATATATATATATATATATATATATATATATATATATATATATATATATATATATATATATATATATTTATCTGATTTCAAATTAATTTTGCACCAAATGGGCAATATAAGTCCAAATTTAAAAGATGCAAATGCTTCGGCATATTTAGCCCTTAGCCCATAGCGTGTATGATTAAATTCTCACATAAAATCTTTTAATTGTTTTGTTTTAAATTAGCAAAGTGGTGTAGGGTCGGCTCCGCACGACTATAGCCTTTGCTTACTTGTTTAGTAATATTTTTGAACAGAATTTGCTGCAAGAAATGTCTTTGGAAAGATCTGTCCATATCTAATCTGAGTTTATGTATAGTACCCCTCGATATTCAGAATTTAATCAAGTTTGGTATTTTTAGTTCGTAGTAGATACTACCTCCACTGATAGAAAATTTCTTCCTCTACCTCTCTATAGTCGGTATTTTGATGATTTTTGCTACACTTTACAACGGAATTGTATTCAATTTGGTATTTAGAGTTCGTAATAAGCACTGGCTTTGCTGGAATATAATTGGCTGCGGTGATCCAAGTTTTTGTATATCCTCGTATAACTTTATTATTATTTTTTTATATTATTCGGAATTTTTAAAATTTTATCGACATTTTTCATAGACATTTTTTTTTAATTCTGAAAATTTCTTACAAATCGTGCATGGTATTAATGGCTCGATATTAAACCTATGTTACTCTGTCTGTCTGTCTGTTGTAATCACGCTATCTTTGTAACAAATTGAGATAGAAGGCTAAAATTTTGCACACATGTATATTTTGCCAGTAGGCAGGTTAAGTTCTTAAATGGGCCATGTAGGTCCAGGTTATCATATAGCCCCAATATAGAGGTACCTCCCGATATTCGATATTTTGATGATGTTAGCGACATTATTCACCGGAATTGTTTGAAATTTGGTATTTAAAGTTCATTATGTATACTACATCCTAAGTCAAAAAATGTAGGTCCACGTCTTCATATAGCCCCCATATAACGGTACCCCCGATATTCGGTATTTTGTTGATTTTAGCGACGTTATTTTACGGAATCGTTCCAAATTTGGTATTTGAGGTTCGTAATAGATACTACAGCCTATGACAGAAAATTGTCTGTGCAGGTCCACGTCTTCGTATAGCCCCCATATAACGGTACCAGCCGATATTGGGTATTTTGATGATTTTAGCGTAATTATTCGCCGGAATTGCTTCAAATTACGTATTTAGAGTTCTTAATGGGAACTATAGTCTGTGACAGAAAATTGTCTGTGCAGGCCCAGGTCTTCGTATAGGCCCCATAGGTCAGTACCTCCCTATATTCGGTATTTTGACCAATATTCGGTTTAGGTACAATATCCACCGAAATTGTTTGAGATAT